TGTGGTACTCCATGGCATAGCTGCCATGGTGCAGAGCCATAGTCCCCCAGCACTACCTTCTGGAATCGGCCGTTGAGATAGGAGCGGAACCACTGCAAAGCAGTGCCTCCGACCCCCAATCCCACTAGCCTATCCAGAAGGATACCATGGTCGATGGTATCAAAAGCCGCTGAGAGGTCCAGAAGTACCAACAGGGACGCACTCCCCCTGTCCTTCTCCCTGCACAGGTCATCGTACAGGGCGACCAAGGCAGATTCAGTACCGTACCCGGGTCTGAAGCCGGACTGAAATGGGTCCAGATTTAGGAAGTAATCAAATATTTAAATGCATTGGTGAAGAATATGGTTTTATATTGAACCAGTCATGTACTGTAAACTCCCTAGTTTGAAACTGTCAAAGCACAAATTGGGATGCCGGTAACTATATGAACTCAGAGAGTTATGGCCAACCTATGAATGGCAGGAAGCCTCCCACCCTGTAAATCATTTAAACGTCTGATTTCAATCTTCTGAGCATTGTGGGAATGGAGGTTGAGGTACCATCAGACTACCTTGTAACTTGGTGTTGCCAAGTCTCTTCTCCTCATCCTCTGGAGCACCCCCAAAAAGCTCTCGTCACCATGAGGAAGGTATTCCTGTGCAGCTGTCGAGCACAGATCCTCAGCTACAAGGACAGAGTGATTTTCTGACCTTGTAAGCTTGCAAACTGAAAAATAGTAAGGTTGCTTACCTTTAACTGTCATTGTTCAAGTGGTCATCTGTGCATCCACACATATGGGTGCTGTACCTGCACAGTGCCTCAGTTCGGGAAGATTCTCCTAGCTCAGTGTAGATATTTTGGTGGGAGCCCCACCCTTCTGCTCTTAGTGTAAATAGGCTGGGCTCCTACCCATTGTCAGTCCAGCTGGAGACTGATGTTTTGCTTGCCAGCTCACCTAAGGTGGAATGAGAGCTGATCTGAAGCCATTGACACTGACCTGGGACTGGCAGGGGAGTTGTGTGAATGCACAGATGGCCACTCGAAGAATGACAGTTACAGGTAAGCAACCTTACTTTCTTCTTTGTGGTCTCAGTGCATCACACATATGGGTGAATAGCAAGTTTACTGAAATAGGAGGTGTTGGCATTGTTTGTTCCCAAATATACACAGGCCAGCAATGTCCTGTATACACCAGTGCCCAGTATGGATCTCTTCAGTATGGGTGGGCTTCTGGTCTGAAGATATGAACGGAGTGGCAGGTTGATTCCAGCAACAGATTATGAGATAGAAACATAGAAACAGAGCAAGTCAGAAGGGGTCTCCTGGGCCATCTAGTCTGACCCCCAGCTCCAGCCGACTCTGCTCATGACATGCCCACATAGTAATCCATACAGTCACAGAGTTGAAGGGGGAGGGAGCTGAGTCTCTCTTCTCAGGGTTGCTACAGACCACTATGGAGGAAGCTGTATCAGTGATCAGGCTGGGGAGTCCCAGATCTTTCCCTCTGAAAAGGATGTTGGTGGGGCCGTCTCAGTTTGGACCCATTGCTGTTTTAGTCAGAATGGATGTTCTGTTCAAGTCAGAGTGATTGGTATGGACTGAGTCAGTGAAGCTCGAAGTGGAGGCGAGGCTGGCATTGAAGTAATTGCTGGAGTCACTGGGTGGGTGGGTTCAAGTTGAAGAGCTTGGTGATTGGTTCCCCTCTGTTTTATCTCAGGTCTGCTCTTGCCCACCTTTTTGGCCTGTTTGGACTTTTTCACCTCAAGGTGCTTCTCTCCTTATGCTTTTTAGGGGAACTGGAGGAAATTGGCTATGTGGGAGCCGGAGTCAAGAATTTTGAGGAGGATTTGCTTGTGGAAGTGGTGCGCTTCAACACAATTTGTACAGAGGCAGATGGTTCACCTGCTCCTTTCCCTGCAACATTCTGCGTAACCTCCAAGGCTCTGTCCCATAGCTCCATCCTCAATCGGCCTTCTCTGTTCTTCCAGGCCTGCTTAGTGAGGACACTCATCAACACAGTATCCCTCACCTAAGCACAGGAGGCGAAACAAACACCCACCTGTAGATGGCATTTTTACTCCACAGTTTGTGCACTTCCGAAAAGCCAGTTTCTGCACTGTTGGGTAAAAAATGAAGGAAAAGGTAAGAGAACGAGAAAGCAGTAGAGAGCTGAGGTAAGAGGGTGGTGATAGGAGGTTTTGTTTTGGACGGCAAGGACAGAAGGTGAAAAAAGAGGGTAAATGTAAAGATAGTTTTAGGAGCAGAAGTCTGAGGCAAAGTCTGAGGCAAATAGTTTGAAGCTAGGAGGTGGCACAGCAGAACAGTGGCCGAAAGACAACTGATGAAGGGTGGGAGTCCGGCCTATTTACACTAAGAGCAGAAGGGTGGGGCTCCTGCCAAAACAACTATGCTGAGCTAGGAGAATCTTCCCAAACTGAGGCACTGTGCAGGCGCAGCACCCATATGTGTGGATGCACAGAGATCACGACGAGGTGCTGTTGTAAATGATGCTAAGATTGTTGCTAGTTGCGAAGTCGTGTCCGACCCTTCACAACCCCATGGACAACACTCCTCCAGGCCTTCTATCCTCCACCATCCCCCAAAGTCCACTTAAGCTCACAACAACTGCTTCAGTGACTCCATCCAGCCACCTCATTCTCTGCTGTCCCCTTCTTCTTTTGCCCTCAATTGTTCCCAGCATCAGGGTCTTCTCCAGAGGGTCCTTCCTTCTCATTAGGTGGCCAAAGTATCTGAGTTTCATCTTCAGTATCTGGCCTTCTAAAGAGCAGTCAGGGTTGATCTCCTCTAGGACTGACTGGTTTGATCTCCTTGCGGTCCAAGGGACTCGCAGGAATCTTCTCCAGCACCACAATTAAAAGGCTTCAATTCTTCAGTGCTCAGCCTTCTTTATGGTCCAACTTTCACAGCCATACATGGCAACTGGTAAAACCATAGCCCTTGACTATACAAACTTTTGTTGGCAGAGTGATGTCTCTGCTTTTTAGTATGCTTTCTAGATTTGCCATTGCTTTACTCCCAAGGAGCAAGCTTCTTTTAATTTCTAGGCTGCGGTCCCCATCTGCGGTGATCTTGGAGCCCAGGAAAATAAAATCTGTCACTACCACCATTTCTTCCCCATCTATTTGCCGAGAAGTGAAAGGACTGGTCGCCATGACCTTAGTTTTCCTGATGTTGAGTTTCAAGCCAACTTTTGTGCTCTCCTCTTTCACCCGCATCAAGAGGCTCTTTAGTTCCTCTTCACTTTCTGCCATTAGAGTGGTATCATCTGCATATCTGAGGCTGTTGATATTTCTCCCAGCTATCTTAATTCCAATTTGTGATTCATCTAGCCCAGGCTTTTGCATGATGTGCTCTGCATATAAGTTAAATAGGCAGGGCAACAGCATACAGCCTTACTGAACTCCTTTCCCAATTTTGAACCAATCAGTGGTTCCATGTCCAGTTCTCACTGTTGCTTCTTGACCCGCATACAGGTTTCTCAAGAGACAAATAAGATGGTCTGGGACTCCCATCTCTCAAAGAACTTGCCACAATTTGTTGTGATCCACACAATCAAAGGCTTTAGCATAATCAGTGAAGCAGAAATAGATGTTTTTCTGGAACTCCCTAGCTTTCTCCATGATCCAGCGTATGTTGGCAATTTGATCTCTAGTTTCCCTGCCTCTTCGAAACCCTGCCTATACCTCTGGTAGTCTTTGGTCCACATACTGCTGGAGCCTAGCTTGTAGGATTTTGAGCATAACTTTGCTAGCATGTGAAATGAGTGCAATAATGCAGTAGTTCAAACATTCTTTGGCACTGCCCTTCATTGGAATTGGAATGTAAACTGACGTTTTCCAATCCTGTGTCCACTGTTGAGTTTTCCAAATTTGCTGGCATGTAGTCAACTTCAGCCTCTTCAGCATCAGGGGTTGGAGCATAGACTTGGTACTGTCCATAGGATTTTCATGGCAAGGATACTGGAGCGGTTTGCCATTTCCCTCTCCAGTGGATCAGCTTTTGCCAGAGCTCTCTGCTATGATGTTTCTGTCATGGGTGTCCCTAGACAGTTTAGCTCATAGCTTCTTTGAGCTACACAAGCTCCTTCGCCACGGCAAGGCAGTGATCCATGAAGGGGGATGCTGAGATTAACATTATTTAAAATATCTGTTCCCTTTCTTTCTGCTTCTTTATCAAGGTAGAATCTGGATCAGTGGTCATGTTGAAATTAACTTATTATTGTAAACCACTCAGAGAGTTTCAGTTATGGAGTGTTATATAAAAGAAATAAACAATATATGTGGGGAGAGTAAATTTTTTTTAAAAATATGCTATTTGTCATGTTTTGGGATGATGAATTTACTGAAAACATGTACCTGTATTCTTTATATTCTTCTTCTCTATATTAGTATTTTAACAGCATATTTCTACATTTATCATGATACATAGCTATACTGAAAACTTTTTATCTCCAATGTAATGTAGGTTACTCATCCAAAAGAATTTATTTCAAGAAGGCTATGTGTAGAATGTTGTAAAGATGCTCTACTCAGATTTTGCTATACACAGAAACCATAAAAACTTTTCCCTCTGTGAAAGTTCTATAGATATCTTACTATGTCAAGGCTCAGGAACAAGAGGAAACCTAAATAAATGCTCAGGCTTTCAAAAATCTTTACTTACATAGAATTTAAGAAGAGCTCCATCTGAGTTACAGCACCATGATCTCCTCCCAAGATATTCATGAGCTGTGTTCAGTAGCATAAGGGAAGAGGTCAGCAGTGCAGAGTCTGGGGTTGGAGCCACTGTAAAAGTAGTTATTTCAACAATCGTAAAAGAGGCAAACATGATATACTTCACATTGCATATTAAGACCAATTCCAGTTCTTCAAATATGTTATTTATTTATAAGAGCATTTCAAGAGTACCATTTAGTCCTAACAAGGCCTCCCAAACAGAGATGCAAAATTTCTAGCAATGCTGAATCCTGGAAGACCGAGTATTGGCAAATGATGGGCATCACCTCACAAAACAGAATGCATCTGTTTGGCCACTACATGAAAAACTTCACCAGGAGGGCTTTAAACTGAAAAATACAGGGGAGGGAGATGTGCAGCTTGGCATACCATCACCTGACACAGACTTATTTATTTCAACAGAGAAAAAACCTCAAGCAGAGGCCAATACCAGGCTCCCAAAAAATGTAGGAAGAAAACCAGGGCACAGCGAGAATGAAGTCCAGTGTCTTTACACTAATGTCTACTGGTCCACACCAATATGGGAAACAAACAATATGAAGTTAAGCGCATAGTATGCAGAAATACTAGATGAGGAACTTAGTAGCCCCATTGAAAGCATCTGGCTTAATTGAAAAGGAGCAAAAAATAAGAAAAACTTTGTTATTGGCAACTATTATGGACCACCAAGTTAAAAGGAGGACAAGGATACAACCTTCGAAAAGCAACTTGCCAGCATTTCCAAGAAGAATGATGTAATCATCATGTTGTTGCTAGTCGCAAAGTCGTGTCCAACCCATCGCGACCCCATGGACAACATTCCTCCAGGTCTTCCCGTCCTCCACCATCCCCCAGAGTCCACTTAAGCTCATGCCAACTGCTTCAGTGACTCCATCTAGCCACCTCATTCTCCGTATTCATCCTGGGGAACTTCAATTTCCCTGATATACACTGGGAGACAAATTCTGCCAAGCACGGCACCTCCAAGAGATTCCTGACATGTGTTGCCAGCAACTTTCTCCAGAAGAAAGTAGAGGAAGGTACAAGAGGATCAGCTATTCTCGATTTAATACTAATAGGAATAGCCTAGTGGACAAAATAGCAGCCATGGGAACTCTGGGGGAATGTGACCATGCAATACTTGAATTCTCAGTTATAAGGAAAGTTTAACTGCCACCAAACACATACCCTGGACTTCAAGAAAGCCAACTCAGAAAAATGATAAGCAAGGCGCCAAGGTAACTCACTCTTAAGGGAAAAAGAGTCCAATAGGAGTGGGGACTCTTGAAAATGAAGATTCTCCAAGCACAACTACAAAGAATTTAGTCAAGAAAAAGGTGTAGAAGACAACAGAGGAAGCCCACGTGGCTCCACAAAATGTTAAGAGACAGCCTAAAAACACATGTACAGGAAGTGGAAGAAACATAAACAGAATGAACCAGAAGGGGCCTCCCGAGTCATCTAGTCTGATCTCCAGCACCAGCCGGCTCCATTCACGACATGCCCACCATGTGCACATCCAGCCTATCCTTGAACACCTGCACTGATGGGGCCTCAACGACCTCTTGTGGAAGCCCATTCCACACCCTCAGGGTCCTAACTGTCAGGAAGTGCTTCCTGGCATCCAAATGAAACCTTGGTTCCCTGGAGCACGTCCTGCCTTCCTCTGCAGGGGAGAGCAGGTCTCTACCCATCTCCACGTGACATCCCCTCACATACCTGTATGTCGCCAACAGATCCCCTCTGAGTCTCCTCTTCTCCAGGCTGAAGAGGAGACTCAGAGGGGATCTGTTGGCGACATACAGG